AGATTAGGTGGTGCTTGGGGTGCCTGGTGTTGGGTGGCATGTGTTGTGTCTCACTTACATGCTGCTGTTTCGCCACCATGTAATTCAAGGGTGTCTCTCTCTTCACCCTGCGCTCATGGTTCCGCTCACCCCTGTATGGTAGGGTTTGTGGTTTTGCCTGAGGTGTTTGCATCCTTTCCAAGAACTTCACCCAGAATCGGGCAAAAGTTGCATTTAGACACTGCTGTATGTCGCGGAAGTCCTCCGGCTCATGTATGCAGTGTTGCTTACTTGGTAGGTTTGCCGCCATGTTGGGCACGCCATGTGCTTGGCTGTTTCGTCGCTGCGGTTTCTCTGGTTGCAGGTTCAGTCTGTGTCCTGTTGTGGATCAGAATGTTGATCTTTGTTATATTCAGAGGAAGCCCAAATTGTTGTTACAAGTGCACTTGGAGAAGCGAGAATTAGACACCAGACACCTGTTGGTATTCAAAATAAGCCTCTGACGTTTTATTCATCAGTTGGGTTTTATACATTAAAAAGTAAGTGCTTACATGCAAATACTCTTAGAACAGTAATAGGAAGAGAGTACAGATAAGACATAGGGATGAGCGTCATGTACACATAACAAATAAGTTTCAAGGCAAGAGAGAACAAAATGATTAGAGCAGAGACATCTTAGGTGGGGGCTCTCTGCTCCCGGAACTTAGACATATATGGTCTTAAGTGTTGTTTAAGCATCAAGCATTTCCTGAGTCCAAGTTAGCCAATTTTAATATAGGATATCATTATATGACACCTATAAGCTTGAGCCTTGGAATCAAGATAAATTCTATCACAGTCCGCCTCGCCTGTTGCCCGCTGTGGACCGTGATAACCCCCATCGGTCCGTAGGGGGGGGTAGGAGTTGGGAGCCCCGAGGGATCCATACTCAGGTCAGTCAGCGTGGAGAGCGGCCGTCTCTCCACAGCTCGACCTCCAGTAGGCCTCAGGTTTGTAATGCAGGGTCCCAGTGGGTCACACGCTTGGTTTCAGTGTCTGAGGGCTCACCCGGGTGTCCCCGACTCACTAGCCCCACTCTGGTGTGCTTTTGTGCCGTTTTGGGTTTTTTTTTCCCCAATTTGTGTCGATTTGAGCAGGAGCTGAAGCTTGGCACAACCGCTCCGCTTAGCTGCTTGGCTCCGCCCCCCGGGGTTTGTATTTTTTAAAGGTATTTTGAGGGTTTTATAAAAATGTGTGTTTTTGTGTCTGGAGATAATTGAGTTAATACAGTACTTGACTCAATTATCTCCCAGGCACAGGAGAGGGATTATTTTATTATGTATGGGAGTGTCCTGTATCTGAGAGCCAATGTGATTGCGTATTTGTTTCTACTGTGGTTTACTCTCAGGATGGGGGACTGTCATAAAAGGCCAAGTTTGGTCCCACTAAAGTCAGTTCACTTCACCCACAACACGCAGCCTCATCTCGTGATTGTACAGAACAGCTATACCAGCTATACCAGCTTCGGTTTGCGATACTGGCTATAATCACTAGCTCTTGTAAGAGCTACATAGCTATACCTGCTAGACCCTCTGGAGTAGGAGAGGTCCACCCACTGGAAGCTGGATCCTGGGCTTGGGTCCAGGGTGGGTGAAGGACAGTGAGACCCCAACCAAGCTATGAGGGCTAAGGGGCTATGGTGCTTATGGTGTCCGGTGCGGTGCTTATAGTACTCTAGGCTACTAGGAAGCAGTGATTGTCGGAGGCACCAAGTTGGGGTGCCAGGCGGTCCGTCACAGGCCCCAAATAGGAACTGTCCCTCCTAAATAAGGATCCATGAAAGGTCTGGTAACATTTGCTATTAATTGTACACCATTCTTAAAAGTACACTCATTTACTTTTTTGTTTTTAAATTATTTGGCAGATATACAAAGTAAACATGCATCTTTGTGTGTTTTTTGGAGGGTATATAAAAGAACACATTGCAAATGTTGTAGACCTGCTATCTGACTTGGAACGGTCAGAGCGAAGTCTCTGTGCTGGAGCCGCTAGAGATAGTAGCTTTCCAATACTTCTCAATGATCTCAGTGTGCCTGCTGTCAGCTCTGTGACACTAACGGAAGTGGAAGAGTCATCAATGCCACCAATTATAAAGGATTGCTTCTTTAATTACTTGGCATATTGTGTATGCTGCGACTAATCAAACTGTCTTTACTACTGCTATTTATTGTTATATATTTAGTTTGATTTGCCTGTTAGTTATCACAAGAGTACAACGTTTGTGGGGAAGTCAGAGTATTGTAACAATTGATATTAGTAAACAAATGTAGAATATTATGTGGTATAAAATGTTGCACTGACATAGAATTTATTATAAAGTATTATTGTGAATAGCGTGGCTGATCATTGTGTTAGGACCCATGTGCTCTGTCTTAACTTTCCAGCAAGTGAGCAGATACATCAGGTTAGCTCTATACATGATTTCATACATTTCCTTTTCAATGACTAGTTAACTGCAAAAAAATAACTATGGAAAACAGAAAATTAACAAGATGTTAATAAACAAAATGCTGCCCAGAATGTATGTGCCATTGACATGGTGCAAGGCTTGTCCAGCGAGTTAATAAAGGATTACACCATTGTCTGTCTGGTGCTGTGCATTCTGGTGTCCAATGTCAATTTTAGACAGAAGTAACACCTCTCTTCCGGGCTTGCTTATGGTACCCCAATAATACTGCTGTAGGTGGAGTTACATCTTGGATACTAGAGTGGTTAATCTCCATATAAACACCAGCATATCTAGACATCAGCCACCATGACCAACTCAAATCAATGACGTGGCCATGGTGCTTGGACTAAACATTTAATTTCTCTTACTTACAAATCTGAATTCTTCACACATCTAGGGGTGAAGTTATGTACTATTCAAGCTATGTACTATCTCTGGAACTGCTTTGTAATAAATTATGCCCGTGACAATCGCAAAACGCATTGCAATCTTTCCTGGCCTGATTAAAGATGTTTGCAACCAAACATTTTCTAAGCATTCTACATTAACACAAAACATAATTGGCGAGCCAACGCGTTCAGTGACACTATAGACAGTGTTAAGGGTAGAGCAGGAAAACAACTTTTTGAGATCTTTATTTTAAAATGTATTTTACGATATAGCATGGATTTTGACACAAAGTAAATACAGAGAATATTATATAACAGCTTGAAATAGAGAGCACAATAAAATCTATAGTTTCACAGTCATTCATTTCATGGTTTTTTTGTAAAGAAAAGGACGGTATATTTTGACAATCAGGAAATAGAAGTGAGTTGAACACCAAGGTTGACGACTTTCTGGTAGCCCACTGTAGATATCTACGGCTGTGTACATGTCTCCACTTTATGTTTGCTCCATTCTTTTTCCCTGTCACTCCTGCTCCTGATACAAGACACAGGAACGGCAGAGTGGCTGGGGAAAAACAAATTGAGCAGTGGTTCTGAAAACATTGAAGATTCTGCCCTCCATGTCAAATCATTTCAATAACAGTGTTCCAGTGTAATTATTCATGGGTTTGAAAAAAAAACAGCTGTCAGAAAAATAATAATTCACAAATTTGAAACATTTACTTTCACTACTCTTTGTAACTCTAGTTTTCCCTTTTAAATCTGTACTTAATTTATTTTAATTTTAACAAATAAAAAAGCAAGCAGGGTGATATTTAAGGCCTTACATTGAGCATTCTGTATAATACCAAGGAAATTGTCAGGACATAAAGAAGACTTTCCAAAGAGCTCCTACAATTTAATAACCTTTTTAAGAAAAGACTCAATCTTCTTAATAAACATTGTTCGTAGGAAACATAACAAAAAGAATAAATTAGATTTGACAAACATGGTTAGGCTTTTTCAAAAGGATTGTTGTAAACTAAACAAAACCTCTCTTTTTTCAAGTATAATGACTTCAAAAAAAGCATTTTTTTCTGCAAGGTGAAGTGGTATGGCAGCAAATTGGAAATTGCACTTACAAATCAGATTGAGCCTGTAATAACGCTCTCCTGGTTTTATCTCCACATTAACCATTTGCCACTGACAGATTCAAATGCATTGTGTTTCAAAATGTATTGCACTAATATCCTGGGGTAATGATTAGTTAGGTAAACATATCCCCTACTGGCAGATTTGACAGAAGTTGGCAAAATGAGAAAGATTCTATTGAAAGCAACTTTCTTAATGATCGAAACCAATTTTTAAAGTTAATAATATATAACACGCACAAATGTAAATGGATCAAAATGACATATAATTAAGGTTAAAATAACTTGTTTGTTTCACTTATCCTAAGACATATTTAAAAAAGAAACCTTAAATCTTCACACTGTTTTTTTATTTATTTTTATTTATAAGCTATTCAATTACATACTTTTAGAACACAGGTTGAAAGGAAATCATTAAGAATCTTTGCACGAAAAAAAAAAAAAGATTTTAAATCCTGAGTCCCAGTTTTGATTAGGAACTTTCTTCTTCTGACAGTGTGGCATGGAATGTCCATTTATATTTACTAAAAACTTCTGGAAGATCACCAGATAAAAAAGTCCCCATCCTAGAATTTCGCCAGCTCACTCAAACTACTTTGACAGCCTAAGACAGCCATTTGTGAATGGGTTATCTAGGTTGCACACCTCAATCATGTGTTCTAAATCAGGAAAGCAATGTTCATGTTAGACTCTTAGAATAATGATGTCTCTTCTTCATCACAAAATCTAACCTTTGATATGTTTGTAGATAAGGGGCTTATGTAGTCTAACCACTTTTAAGCTGTGGTTAGACTACATATTCCAGAGTTTGAAAGATATATATTCAGTTGAAATTCGTATTATTGTCAAAGAATTGCACAGTATTAGCTAGCCTGATTCCAACTGCTTCAGCAAAACTGGGGATTTCCATTTGATTTGTCTAAAATAAAACAGACAGTTGGTGTGCTATACACTGGTGTTATCTCTGCCTTTGGGTCTGTTCTATGATCAGAATGAATACAGGTTGCTGTTGACTGATGTAGCATCCACATTGTATGCGCTGTGTAAATCAGAGCCACACACAGTGTGTACAATGCAGGTTCTATATAGTCACGTCTTCTATCCATTATTCAGGATCCATTGTCTCATTCCAAACCCATTCTAGATGGGCTACTTCAGGACATCTAATCATGAACTCACCCGTCATACTTCCTTTCTCCCTTTTATTTTTTGAAGGGTTGGGGGGTTAGGATATCTGAATATGTAAGGTGACATTAGTTTTTTTTTTCTGTTTATGACCAGTCTAAACTCTTTGTAACAGAATGTCTCTGTATTATTATTCAGTATTTCAGACTCAATAACTCTTTTTCATAAAGAATGAGTAAATGAAGAAATGTCGTACTTCCATAAAACAGAGATTTCCTCGGCAATGTGTTGTATTATACCTGGCAGTATTTTATCATATTAGTGTAAATTATGGAAAATCATATATGTTATTGTTACACAGCCCAAATAAGCCATCAATTTGTGAGAGTCAATGGCAGCAAAGCGGCACAACGGTATCCCTGTAAAATTCACTTATTTGATTTTTTAAAAGATATCCTGAGTTATTCAGTAAAGTATGAATTGTCAGGAATTTTAATTTTAGCCCCCAATAGGCAATATGACCACAGATAACTGACTTGAATTTTTCTAATCCCGCTAATTTAACCTTCAATTTGAAATGCACCTTAAATTTGCATTGAATACCAGATGATTCATACTTTAGATATATATTTGTAAACTGACTATTATACAGTAAATGTATGTGGAGCAGCTGAATCCCATAGGCTAAAGGAACACTCCAAACACCATAAACACTACAGTTTTGTAGTTGGTGCTCAACATAATCGGCCTTAAAAACACCTAGTGCCGTTATTTTGTCTGATACCTAACAAGAATAGATTGAGTGGCAAAGTGAAAAGGATAAGGGACAGTGGACGGCCTTGCCTAGTGCCACTTCAGATTTGGACTAGAAGAAAGAAGGCTCCATTAACAGAAATCCTAGCCAATGTGCAAATATATAAGGCCCCTTTTCGATTATATGTTAATGATTTAAAAGCATAATCATTTCAACACTATATAATTAAGATTGTAGAATATTTTATTAAAACAGTTTATTTAATTTTTTTATATGTCTGCATTGTCTTTTTTTTGTGTTTTTTTTTTTTTTTCATTTTTGAATTTGGTTAACCAGTACAAGAGACCTACATTTGTATCATATGTTTCATGACTCTCTGGGGGATTAAGTAACATTATTATATGATATTAAATAACATTTAATCCCATGAAATGTTTGAGTTGTTCTCTTTACATACTTGCAGCTGATGTGTATGTGTAGCTGATGTGTATGTAGATAAATATATATATACCTACATACACATCAGCTGCAAGTATGTAAAGAGAACAACGCAGTATATATACTGTACTAGACTGTTACCTAACCCTGCTGTCAGGATATTAGTATTATTTGATAGTTAAAACTTATTCATGTTAAGATCATACAGACTGTGGGTTAAGGGCTGCATCTTTTTCTGTGTGAATGGCCCCAATGCAACATAAGATTATCCCTCAGCTTATATCAGGGTCTGACTTGCCATTTTTCCAATTTTCTTTTTACTCTATCTCCATCTTAAGTCTACCTTTCAGTCCCTCTTTTTCTCCATCTATTATGCCATACTTTTTACATCTGCCTGTTCTTTACTGACTTTTAACATTTATCATATCAGTCTTGGTGACTGGTGGAGAGAGCGTTAGAACTCAGTATTTGATCACTCAGTTCACCTGTCTTGATGCAGGGTACTCGTCTCTATGGATCCTCTGATTGTGGCCCACTGTACCTAGATCACGTTATTGACATGAAGTGGTCCGGGTGAAGTTAGCGGTCCTTTACAATGCAGAGACTCTGGTTTTCTTTTTACACTCTGTTTTGCATGTGTTTTATGTCATATGTCAATTGTGAGGCTGTACAATACAATAACCTCCTTAAAAATATAAATATAAATGTGACTCTATCTGGGTTATTTACTAAAGTCAGAATTCAACTTTATTCAAAGTGAATTTAAAATATAATGTCAAAATTCTCTAAGTCAGTTATGCTTTCAGTTGGGCTAAACCTGAACTTTGAACTCTTTAAATTGACTTTAGTAAATAATCCTGTTTATGAGATAGCTCAGTGTATAAGGGTCCTGTTGGAGTATCTCAGAGTTACTGGTGTAAATTCTGCCAAATTCATGCCAGTCACCTTAAATTGAGTAATAAACAACATCTAGAAACCAGGACATACTGGTAAATTAGCAAAAAGTGAAATGCATCTTTGCTAGTGAAAGGCACTGATGTGAGTATTATATATTATATTCCAAACATTTCATTAAAAAAAGCGAAACCATCGCCAACATATTTCACTTTAACGTGAAAATAAAATGCTGTTTGAACGTTTGCTTCTTTAATAGATAAATAGAATGATGACAAAAACACAATTGGACTGCACCACGCTCTATTTACGTCAATATAACGCAATTAACCCTAACATCATCCCAATGTATTTTGTTTAATAGAATGTCATCTCAAAATGTAGCGCATTAAATATTTGTAAGAGGTAAAAAAATATACTTTTTAATAATTTGTTTTTCACATTTTCAGACTCACATAAATTTTTATTGTTTTGGTACAGGGAGAGCGAGAGAACAACATATCGCTAACTGTACAAGGTGATTACATCGACTTTCACTCTCCCTGTACCAAAAGAATAAAAACATTTTATGACAACAAAGGGATAGTTTAATAAGGAAAGGTCCTACTGTGTCCTATAGCTGTCGGAGTGTTTAGTAATGAAATCCCGAGATAAACTACATGAGCTGAACTCCCAATTACACGGGAGATTGTCAGGTCTAACAAACCTCATATCCCTCTACTTAGAAAAATGCCAATGACAATCACATGAAATTAGCATTTTCCCAGAAAATTACATTTAACAGACTGTACGCTTGTCACATCCCTACACAACATTCAATTAAAAGCAATTGTCTGAAGTCACACAACAGTACACTTAATGAGGTACCTACAGCATACAGCATGAAATGCTAATTCGAAAAAAAGGCCACAAAAAAAAAAATAGAAACTTGTGATTAACTTCATGTTACATTTCATTGAGAGCGGTTAACATTTCAAGATGACTTTTTAAAAGCTAATATGTAACATAAGTCTGTATCAGTGAAATGCATGGATGCCGCGCTCGCCTACAAAGCCTTTCATCCTCTTCTTGAAGAGGATGTACACCCCTCCTGTAGAGTTCAAATAGAACTTAAAAAGAATAAAGGGCACATAAGTGATGTGCAGTTCCTCCTGTGTCCACTGGTTGGCGTTTATTAGTCTCTCTGCATAAAGTATCCACTCAATTGAAAGTACACATTTACTGTATATCTATAATATAATATGTATATAATAAACAGGATTGCAGCACACTCACATGTCTCCAAAAAAAAAGAATTACTTTATTATTTTTGTTATAGTATAATAAGAAATACATACATTTATTATAATACATTTATTACAACTCTATATGTATTACTATTATTCTATACACACATTTGATGTATTTATACATACATAGTAATGTAGCCATTTTGTTATTTTTCTTTTGTCTTTGCAAAATACTTATTTTGGTTGAAATAATAGGTGAAGGAACAATTTTAATAAAATCAGGGCCGCAATCATGTCATACACACCCCCACGACATTTTAATAAATGAATACCGATCACTTACCCCAGCCAAACAGCGTGAATCCCCACAGGTATTTTTTATCTGAGAAAAAGGCCATGAAGATGAGACTGTGCAGGTAGAGTCCTTCCACCAGGATCCAATAATAATTGGTCGTCAGGAAGTAGAGGAAGAACGTTACAACTATTTTGCATCCCACCTAATGAAGGAAATTAATGAAGAAATGAACCACATTAGCTAGAATAAAGAAGTGTTCTCTAGAAAGTAACAGCATTCTCATTCAGCAAAATGGAAACAGATTTGAATATTTTGCAGTACACACGGTATTTCAGATCTACAATAATGGCCTCACTTTAATATTTTTGGATTAAATTTTTTTTAATATTTGCAATTAAAGTTTGAAAATTATTTAATATTTTAAATACTATTTTAATGGTTTGATAATTTTTTAAATATATGACACAAAAATATTAAATCAAGGCTTTTTTTGCATTTCCTATCTCGTGTGAATTGCAATTCACAAAAAAAAAGTGGTACAAAGTGCTTACTGGGTTATTAAAAATGTAGCTTTACAAAAATGTGATCTGACTATAAAAACAATGTCTGTATGACACTAGTAAATAATATTATCTGACAATAGACACATACTACACCCTCCCAATGAATCCCCTTAGGGACCAAACTTCAGGAATAAAAGGGAATCATGACACGTCACACATGTCATGTGTCCTTAAGGGGTTAATAGAATGTTTTCTAAAAATGTAGCGCATGAGATATTTGTAAGAGGTAAAAAAATATATTTTTTAATAATTTTGTTTTCACATTTTCAGAGCAAGAGAACAACATATCTCTAACTGTGCAAGTCGATAACATCAAATTTCACTCTCCTTGTACCAAAATAATAAAACATTCTCTCTCCGACCCTTCCTGACTACTGCAGAATTCTATATAGTACAGGAGATAGATGGGAGGGCAGATCGTTGCAGGTTCTCCCTTATGCAGAGCAACTGCATGTACCTCTTTGCTGCATCTCCAGTAACCAATTAAGAGTCATTTAGATATGTAATTTGCTTACATGGTCTGTTACACATTAGGTAATATTGATGAATTTATAAGGGATATATTGTCCATTCAGACCAGGATGATTCATGTTTTAAATGAGAACAATATTTTAACACGTATATATACAACATATAGATACTTCTACAATCAGAATGACATGTATCCTTCGTATATATAATGACTTATACAATTTGATGTCACTGTTTATCTTTAATCTATATTCTATACCTTATTAGAACATGTATGATATGCGTTACCAGGCAATGAGGGAAAATATTAACTTAAAGAG